CTGTATGAGCGCTTCTGGGGTCGATTCGGTCACAAGCACCTGTGTGTCAGTGCGGCCATGCGCACTGAGTTGCAACGAGGCTGGCATATCCAGGCCACTGTGTTCTATGACCGGCCCCCATCGCACTTCAGACCAACTCCCATAAAGCAGCAGGTTTGCGAATTTGGCTGTCTCTTTCATCATTGACTGGGCATCCGTGATGCCCTGCAAAAGTACACAACCTGATCAATAATGACCCATCATTCCCTTGGAAGCCTACTGATCGGTTGATGCTGTGCGCCTGCTCAGCATGAGCTGCTGCTTCGTTTGGGGCCTTTGTTGGACACTCCTGTCCATCCCAGGGATTGCTGTGGGGTGCTGCCCACGCTAAATGGGATGGCCAAGGCAGCTCACCTCAATGGTCACGGCGCAGCTGCTGAAGCTGCAGCCCCCAGCGCTAGATCATTGCCAGTCAGCCGCAGAGCCAGCGCCGCTTCCCATGACAACTTGAATAATCTGGTGGACCAGGTGGGCCTTTGACATTTCAGACACCAACAAATGCAGTTTGCCGCATGGCTTGTACTGAGTGCCACCGTGTCTGAAGTCAGAGGCGTTCAGGTCATGCCGACATGATGTCACACATTGCGAACCTGCATGAGCTCTGCACAGATGGACTTGCACTTGGCGTCGGAGCGGTTAAGGGGCCGTGAGGACGGGCAGGAGCACAGCTTGACGGTGTGCACGGAGCGGCTGGGGGGTGCAGGTGGCAGGGTGCGCTTGCGAGCGGACCGGCCTGCCCTCATAGTCAGCAGCACCAGCTGGACGCCCGACGAGGACTTCCAGATCCTCCTGGATGCAGCACAGCAGTATGATGCCCAGGTAACTCAGCCCTTTTACCCATCAGTACATTACAGGACAACATTCCTTCAGGTGTAGGCTGCCATGGTCCAAGCAGGTACTTCCTGAGATGCTGCGTGTATACCGTCAGGGACATGTGAGTTTTTGGGCCTGGAGAGAATTTCGTGCAAACATGAGAGCATCCCATCAGTGACCTGGCCATGGTCAGCCTGTCGCTCAAATAGCATTGTGACAAGATATTATTGGTCTGCACGTGCGCATTCAGCTGAGACATGCTGAGCAGCCGCTGAAAGTTCTGTGTACATGCAGGCAGTGGAACGGCAGGGGGAGCTGCCGCGGCTGCTGGTGGCTGTGACGGGGAAGGGGCCTCAGCGGGACTGGTATGTGGAGCGCATGCGCCGCCTGGACCTGCAGCGCGTGGCTTTTCGCACAGCCTGGCTGGAGGCGGCCGACTACCCGCTGCTGCTGGGCGCTGCCGACCTGGGCGTCTGCCTGCACACCTCCTCCTCCGGCTTTGACCTGCCCATGAAGGTCCACTGGCCCGCCTGCTGTTGCCTGTTGCATGGCCCTGCATTTTTGTTGTCCATGTGAATGCTGCCATAGATGTAAGGAAAGCAACCTAAAGCCCCTTTACGCCGGAGGACGAGGAGCACGATGGTAGCCCAGCGTTTCTGAGATTTTATTATCGCCAGCCGTGGCTCCAAATGATTATTATTGTTTCAGGGTCGGCAAGCCCAAAGCCAAATGGCCATAGGGCATACGCACAGCGTGTCTGCAGCCACACCGTGGGGCATCTGACCTAGTCTGCAGCAATTATCAATAAAATGTATGAGTACTCCTCTTCCTCTGGAGCGGGGTTAAGAGCTGTCTTTGTAGCCACTGTTTCAGAGGACAGAGGTGGCTGAGCGTCTAGCCCTTCACATGCTGTGATGTGATTGATGTGTGCACTGCATGTTTCTTTGTTGCGTGTAGCTCTGGTGTCCTTTCGGAGATTTGAAAGATCTTGAAAACGCAATGTGCAAGCCCAACAGCCAGAAAATAGAGCTGTCCCGCAACAAGCGCATGACAGTGTGCCTTTTATGAGATACTAATTGGGCTGATCTGCGCAGGTGGTGGACATGTTTGGCTGCGGGCTGCCGGTATGTGCAGCAGAGTATAGGTGCATAGGTGAGCTGGTGTCTCATGGCACCAATGGTCTCCTCTTTGACAGCGCGAGCAAGCTTGCCGCGCAGCTAGTGGAGCTGTTTGAGGGGTTTCCCCACAAGGAGTCTGCGCTGCTGAGGAGGTTGCAGGAGTCGGTGGCCTCGACCAGTGCATTGACGTGGGAGCAGTCCTGGGAAAAAATAGTGCTTCCAATCTTTGTCAGGCGGCGATGATACCAGATGGCTGTACGTGTCCGGGGTGCTGCTGTTCTGAGTGATTCATCTTGTGCTGATATTGCATGTCTTGTGTGGGAATTTGGTGTGGGACAATTTTGAAGGGGTGAAGTACTAAGGGATGAATGATTTGGACAAACTTAGCGTGTGGAGGGTATGTCCACGAGAGACACTGATGGTATCTGCTGCAGCTGAAGGAGAGCCAGACAATTTTCATGGCCAGGTTTTGTATGTGTGTTTTGAATGACCTGGATGACAAATAGAGTTGAAGCTTGCACTGCTCATTC